TGTCTATTGTAATGTATTTAAAATGAAGCTCTTATTTCTATCTTGCTTAAGACATATAAAACATTTGTGTTTATTAACGAATTTACGTGAAATAAACATTGATCTGAGAGAGAGTTGCTCTGTCGTTCAGTCTGTACGGGGTGGGAGCTCCGTAATTTTTAAAATACATGTATCTTCATTAGAACTTTAAATATGTCTATGGTAAAGTGTTTAAAGTGAAGCTTATATGTCTGCCTTTCATGAGACATATAAAACATATATGTTTATTAACGAATTCACTTGAAATAAACATTGTTCTGAGAGAGAGTTGCTCGGTCGATCAATCTGTCCGGGGTTAAAGCTCGGCTATTATAAAAGTAAACGTATCTTCGCTTTAAATTTAAATATGCCCATGGTAAGGTATTTAGAATGAAGCTTATATTTCTATCTTTCTTGTGACATATAAAACTCTTACGTTTATTAAGGAATCTGCGTGAAATAGGCATGGTTCTGAGATGAATGCTGCGGTTTTCGAGCTCGACGCGCGGCAATGGACGCCATACACATCCAGTGAGTGTTATTGGACCCTATACCCATTTTATTTGTGGTTGGAGCCCCATACCCATTCTATGGGTGGTTGGAGCCCCATACCCATCCTGTGGGTTGTAGTGGACGCCATACTCATCCTGTGTGTGGTATTGGACCCCATACCCTTCCTGTGGGTGGATGTGATCCCTATACTCATCCTGTGGGTGGATGTGACCCTCATACCCATCCTGTGGGTGGTATTGGACCCCTTTCCCACCTAACAGGCGGTAGGTGACAATATACCCATCCTAGCTATAGTTGGTATAGTAGACACAATACCGTCCTGTTTGCAGTAGTTTACTCCATAGACATTCAAATGTAACATCGTTTTCTGTTAGCGTTCCTACAAAACATTCTTTAAAGATTTTTAAAGCTCAAACTATGGTATATAATATTGATTGGTGAAGCACTGTTATTCTATGTAATAATTTATAGTGCTTATTATAATTTACTAAGAACAACTAATATTTCTCAAAACAAAACTACGAGCCTTCAATAGGAAGTAGCTGATCTGTAATATTCTAAGAGCATGGACAATAGTAGGTAAATTTCACAACCCATGTGGGACCTGAAAACTACAATTTTCCTTATAATTGAACCAATCACGAATATTCTGCTATCTATGTTGACGGACGGGTACTGTGACACGTAAATTGGTACGTGAGGAAGAGTTTGGGCCTTGGTAAAAAAAGTAACTGGGAATATATCACATATTTACTAATTCATATTCAACATATTGACTTTAAGCATTAGGTCATATATGTGCTGTCTTGTGAGAGAACGGCTTGCACCACCACTCTCTCTCTCATCACCACTGCCTCCCTCACCACCACCAGTGCCTCCCTCACCACCACCACTGCCTCCTTCACCACCACTGCCTCCCTCACCACCACTGCCTCCCTCACCACCACCACCACTGCCTCCCTCACCACCACTGCCTCCATCACCACCACCACTGCCTCCCTCACCACCACTACCTCCCTCACCACCACTGCCTCCATCACCACCACCACTGCCTCCCTCACCACCACCACCACTGCCTCCCTCACCATCACCACTGCCTCCCTCACCACCACCACTGCCTCCCTCACCACTACCACCACTGCCTCCCTCACCACCACCACCACTGCCTCCCTCACCACCACCACCACTGCCTCCCTTACCACCACCACCACTGCCTCCCTTACCACCACCACCACTGCCTCCCTTACCACCACCACCACTGCCTCCCTTACCACCACCACCACTGCCTCCCTCACCACCACCACTGCCTCCCTCACCACCACCACTGCCTCCCTTACCACCACCACCACTGCTTCCCTCACCACCACCACTGCCTCCCTCACCACCACCACCACTGCCTCCCTCACCACCACCACCACTGCCTCCCTTACCACCACCACCACTGCCTCCCTCACCACCACCACTGCCTCCCTCACCACCACCACCATCACTCCCTTACCACCACCACCACTGCCTCCCTCACCACCACTGCCTCCCTAACCACCACCACTGCCTCCCTCACCACCACCACTGCCTCCCTCACCACCACCACTGCCTCCCTCACCACCACCACCATCACTCCCTTACCACCACCACTCCCTCCTTCACCACCACCACTGCCTCCCTCACCACCACCACTGCCTCCCTCACCACCACCACCATCACTCCCTCACCACCACCACTCACTCCCTCACCACCACCACTGCCTCCCTCACCACCACCACTGCCTCCCTCACCACCACCACCATCACTCCCTCACCACCACCACTGCCTCCCTCACCACCACCACTGCCTCCCTCACCACCACCACCATCACTCCCTCACCACCACCACTCCCTCCCTCACCACCACCACTGCCTCCCTCACCACCTCCACTGCCTCCCTCACCACCACCACCATCACTCCCTCACCACCACCACTCCCTCCCTCACCACCGGGAAAGCAAAATATAATTCTGTACAACTGTTTACACTTTGGTGAATCATAGTTGATGACAGTGGCTGTCATCAACTATGACAGCTCGGTCTCGGTGATCGCTTGGACGAACATTCCTCGCTTAATCGAACATTTGTATGTTCCACTGAACATTTGGTACCGAATTCAATTTGTTCGGCTCTTCAGGGAATTCAATAGAGCAGGGTTCGTTAGACTGACGAAGCACTGTACTAATACCTGTGTACCTTATACCTGATACCTGTGTATATAGTGTAAAAACAGCAAAACTATATGTTTATTGTTTTATGAAAATAATACAGTAATTGAATCACTAATATGCACACCATAATTTTGAGAACAGCGATGGTTCACACATTTTATTATATAAATATATCACAATACACACTATTGAATAATATTACTGCAAAAAAACAAAGAAAAAATCAATCACACATTGAAATAATTAGGTAATAATATCTTTGTGGCAACTCCCGCCTGACAGCTGGGGCAGAGCACACCTTGCCTGGCACCTCCTCTGTCAACGCCTCTTTTTTGTCAGACTTCCCCTGCCCTATTGCAGCCAAAATATGCTACAAAATTTTTTTTTAATTTCCTGTGATCAGGGAACACAAATGAACACTTTTATAATACTAAAGATTTTTTTTTTTTTTTTTTTTTGCGCCTGTGGGTGTTGAAGGCCAAAAGGCCCTTAGCGCCCTAAGGGTTAAGGTCCTCATTTTTACCGTATCTGAGTACCTGGAATTTATCACTGTTAGACACCAGGTTACTTTCAGCTGTCCAGTTGAAAATTTTATTAAAATCTGCTTGTTGTTTTTCAATGTCTTCAGCAGAGGTAATTTTCATGCTGATTTTTTTTTTCTGCAAAGGATGACACGAAGCTGTGACTTGTATTTTTGTCTATATCATATAAGAATAAGGAAAATCAGTGGTGTAAGGACTGTACCTGAGGTACAGAACTTTTAACTTCACCTGGACTCGATTTTATTTGGTTGACTGTTACTGTGTTCTGTTTGACAAAAAATTAAATATCCACTGTCTTACTTTACCCATTATTCCTATTGACCTCATTTTGTGTGTTATCACTCCATGGTCACATTTATCGAATGCCTTTATGAAGTCCGTGTAACACCACATTTGCATTTTGTTTTTCTTCTAATGCCTCTGTGATTTTGTTGTAATGGTCAAGTAGCTGCGAGAGGCATGATCTTCCCGCTCTAAATCCATGTTGGCATAGGTTGTGAAGGTCATTGGTCTCCATGAAACTGATGACCTGACTTCTGATCACACTTACAAATACTTTCATTATGTGGGACGTTAGTGCAACTGGTCTATAATTTTTAGCCAATGCTTTGCTCCCTCCCTTGTGTAGAGGAGCTATGTCTACTGATTTAAGTGCATCTGGTATCTACCATGTGTCCAAGCTCTTCTTCTACACTATACTGAGTGCCTGTGCTACTGGCACTTTGCATTTCTTTATAAATATTGAATTCTATGAGTCTGGACCCAGGGCTGAGTGCATGGGCATGTTGTCAATTTCTCTTTCAAAATCTCCCATGCTCGTACTGATATCAGTTATATTTTCAGGGGCTGGATATCACGCATAAAGAAGTTATCCGGATCTTCCACTTTCATGCTGTTTATTGGGGGTGCTAAACATGTCCTCATACGGCTTTTTTAGGATTTCACTAATTTCTTTGTCATCCTGAGTATGAACCTTCACTTGTACAAATAGGTCCAATACTGGCAGTGGTTTTTGCTATTGATTTTGCACATGAAGAAATATTTTGGGTTTTTCTTGTATTGCTTTCTGTTTTAGTTGCATTTCTTCAGTCTGATCTGAATGCTTCAGTCTCTGCTCAATTTCTTCAATCTCCCTGTTTAAATTATTCCTTCTTTGTAGGGAGAGTAATGTCTGCTTAAGCATTTCAGTTATTTTTTCCTTCTTTTGTAGTGTCGTCTGAGTTCTCTTTCTACATTGGACCTCTTTTTGGCATTCCTCAAAGGAACATGTTTCATACAGACTTTATATGCTACGAAATCAATTGTTCTATTCCTTATGTGGGATTTTTATTACTTAGAATAATTTCCCATTGAATGCTTGTAAGTTTCATGTTTGTTTTTCCCAGTCTATCCTTTCATTACTAAAATCATATTTACTGATCAACCCCTCTCGCTTGATCGCTGTTTTAGGTCTATTATGAGTATTGATGTTAGTTTGCACTTCAATGAGCTTGTGATCTGAGCATGAGGTATCTGTTTTTTAAGAAAACTGCATTAGAGACTTTTAAAGATAAATGTTGCTTTTACCTACCACCACAAGCTGTTAACTCACAACTACAATGAAAATTACTTCCATAAAGAGTTCACTAGTATAATGAATACTACATTATAGTTTCACTTACCACTACAAGCTGCAAGCGTTAATCATCTAAAATATTTCCTATATACTACCTACAATATTTATGATAACTTACAAGTTTTTCTAATCGGGGACATCCAGAGGCCAGATGGTTTAACGTAGCGTCGGTGATCAATACACAATCTTCAAGATCTATCTTTTCCAACATGTGACAAGTCTGTGGAGAAGAAAACAGTACAATATTAATTATGAATGTTATCAATATTTATTAATTAGGAGTATCTCCTATTACACAGATGCCTTTCTTACCACAGTAAGAATGACAGAGGGGTTGAATACAGAAATGTGAGGAACTTGAGGAACAGATACGATCATCAAGCTAACAGGAAGGGCAGAGACTGACAAACTCTGCCAGGAAATCAAGTCAATGGTTGAAATCCATGTCAGATGCAACAATAACCTCTGGAAATTTTTTGTCTACAATCTGAACAAAAGATATACCCACAGTGGACAAAACTACACTAGAAAATATCAGCAACCAACACCTAAAGCAGAACACGAGCGTAGCTCTCATCCTGTAACTACACTTAGGTAATTACAGAGATATGACCACTCTGGTGCTTTAACCTCAAACCCTGAAAAGATCGGCAAACATCCAACCATATGTGGAAAATTCCACCCATTATATCAATATTATAATCTAAGAAATGTATTATTTTTATATCATATCACAATCATTATTTTTATATTATTCATCATATCAACATCCTACATCTATTGATCTATTAAATCTTACAATCTAGGCCCAACATGGTCACCTCCGCCATATGGGGGCATCTAGGCCCTACATGGTCACCTCCGCCATATGGGGGCATCTAGGCCCTACATGGTCACCTCCGCCATATGGGGGCATCTAGGCCCTACATGGTCACCTCCGCCATATGGGGGCATCTAGGCCCCTATTATGGTCACCTCTGCCAAGAGTGGGCATCTAGGCCTTACATGGTCACCTCCGCCATATGGGGGCATCTAGGCCCCTATTATGGTCACCTCTGCCAAAAGTGGGCATCTAGGCCCTACATGGTCACCTCCGCCATATGGGGGCATCTAGGCCTTACATGGTCACCTCCACCATAAGGGGGCATCTAGGCCCTACATGGTCACCTCTGCCATAAGGGGGCATCTAGGCCCTACATGGTCACCTCCGCCATAAGGGGGCATCTAGGCCCTACATGGTCACCTCTGCCATAAGGGAGCATCTAGGCCCTACATGGTCACCTCCGCCATATGGGGGCATCTAGGCCCAACATGGTCACCTCCACCATAAGGGGGGGCATCTAGTCCCTACATGGTCACGTCCGCCATAAGGGGGGGGCATCTAGGCCCTACATGGTCACGTCCGCCATAAGGGGGGGCATCTAGGCCCAACATGGTCACGTCCGCCATAAGGGGGGGCATCTAGGCCCAACATGGTCACGTCCGCCATAAGGGGGGGCATCTAGGCCCAACATGGTCACGTCCGCCATAAGGGGGGGCATCTAGGCCCAACATGGTCACGTCCGCCATAAGGGGGGGGCATCTAGGGCCCTACATGGTCACGTCCGCCATAAGGGGGGCCATCTAGGCCCTACATGGTCACGTCCGCCATAAGGGGAGGCATCTAGGCCCAACATGGTCACGTCCGCCATAAGGGGGGGCATCTAGGCCCTACATGGTCACGTCCGCCATAAGGGTGGGCATCTAGGCCCTACATGGTCACGTCCGCCATAAGGGGGGGCATCTAGGCCCTACATGGTCACGTCCGCCATAAGGGGGGGCATCTAGGCCCAACATGGTCACGTCCGCCATAAGGGGGGGGGGGCATCTAGGGCCCTACATGGTCACGTCCGCCATAAGGGGGCATATTACACTTTTTAAATGTTGTTTAATGTCTACCAAACGTTTTTACTAGTTGTATACAAGAAGGGCTGCAACTGTTCTATGTTTCAGTATTGCACCCTAAATAGAAAGGGAATTATTTTTGTTTTTGTTTTTCCAACGAATTTAAATTTTAAATTTTGCCCCAAGGGGCGAGTTTATTGGGCAGCGCCACTCATCTTGTGAGTGGACATACCGCCATAGCAGCATGTACAACACTCCCCAATAGGAAGAAAACCCGCTGGGTTGTTCATCCTGTCACTTGTACCCAGACACAGCTGGGACTTGCTTAACTGTCTCAGTGAACAGCTCCTCAAACAAGAGGATTAACATCTATCAACCCTTAAAAGCTTACGTTATCTTGCGGGTGCAAAATGGGGGAATCTTTTAAGAACAGTATCAATATTTGACAAATAGTGTTTTCCTAACTCAAACAATGTGGGGTTTATTGTTTTATACATAGTTCTGATTTCTCTCAGGTGTTCACATTCACGTAGATAGTGGTCAAGGCGGTGTCCATCACTCTCACCACAGATTCTACAACTACGCTGATCAACTGTTGTTTCCATTCCATATCTTCATGGATATTTGTATCCAAGACGGATTCTCGCTATTACTGATTCTCTCCCTCGTCCTCCTCCTCTTCGGCCATAATGATTGGGATTGCCAGCTGAAACCATGTTGTACCATTGTACAAATTCACTGGTTTGTGCTTCTATCCTCCTTTCCTCAGTTACCTTGTCACGGTGATGTTGCCTGACAATACCTCTAATTTGAATTAGAGTCTTGGGTATGAAGTATTCAATATGGTCTCCTTCAGCGCCTTCAGCAGCCAGCACATCTGCTCGTTCATTCCCACATATTCCAACATGGGAGGGGATCTACAGAAATTTGATGACTCTTTCCTGATTGGTAAGTACTCTCACAGCTCTCTTAATTTCAGCGATTATTGCAAGATTTTCTGCCTGATTTTTACTTAGGCTTTGCAGTGCTGCTTTTGAATCGGTGCAAATCACTGCACCATTAGTGTTCCGTTCAAGAAACCTTAACGCCATAACAATCGCAGTTAGCTCTGCTTGTGTTGAAGAGGCATAGTTCTCAATACGCGCTTTTTCTTCATTTCTGCGTTGGAAAGTATTATCCTTGATTACCGTGTATGCTGCACCAGCCCTTCCATTGACAGGATTAGATAACTCATCTGTGTAGATTTGATCTAGTTCATCTCCGGTTTCTTTATAAATTTCCTCGAGATACTTGTGCCTCATTTCTTGTGGTAACATGCGGGATTTTTTCATTGCCATTTCATTGATGATAATCTTGCATGAGTCATCCTCCCAGGGAGGTAACCTCTCTACAGGCAGGAGCTCACAGGCTTGCTCAAGCAGGTGAAGCTCTTCCAGGTAGCAGACTGATCTGTGATGCCATTTTTTGCTTCGCCTGTTTTCCCCTGAAAGTAGCACAGAGCTCAGTTTTTTCTTAGAAATATCATTGTAATGGGGATCTCTGGCAGTGAGGTGCAACCGGACACAAAACACGATGCACTCCCGGCCTAACCAACCAAGCATCAACAACCCAGGGACCCCCTCCGGAAAGCAACCATCTGATTCTTCACCAGAAAAGAAGGAGAAGGCTGCAGACGAACAAACCGATCGCCAGGACCAAAAGAGCAGAAACACCTGCGCCGGAGGAGAGCATGAAGCTCACCAACCTGACCCCCAGAGGCCATTGCCAACAGAAAAAGAGCCTTAGAGAAACAATCCTGAACTGAAGGGGCCACAACAAACTGAGGAGAAGAAAGATAAGAGAGCACTCTGTCTAACGACCAGGACGGCTCAGGCGGCACATGAGCAGGCCGGAGGTGAAACAACGCCCGAGACAGCTTGCGAAACGGCACAGACGTAACATCAATACCGAAAGCAAGCTGAAGCGGCTCCGCCAGCACCGCACAATAAGAAACGACAGTGTTAGGCATACGGAGTCGGTCCTGGAACAACCAAGAGAGAAAGGACAACACCACCCTAACCGAAAGCGAAGTACAACGACGAAGACGTAAGAAGAACCGGTAGGACTGCCAGGAAACTTCATACTGCCGCCGAGATGAAGCTAGCAGGTGGGACACCAACAAGGAAGCCACCTGATCACCATATAGATGATGATAAACTCAAGTAAAAAATACCATACGCGAAGACTCGAGGATAAGATCAAACCAGCCACGTGACGCACCGGTCCGATCTGCTGGAAGAAGCGGAGCCGTGGGAAAACCTCCGAGTTCGGACACCGAGCATGCAGTGCCTGAAACCACGGCTGGGCCGGCCACCATGGGGGCCAAGAAGACAACTCTCCCCTGGTAAGTCTCCAAGGAAGTCAGGACACGGAGCAACAACAGAACTGGGGGGAAAGAGGTAAAGGAACCCCCACCTCGACCAGTCCTGCTGGAATTTATCGACCCCGACGGCCTCGCAGTCGGGGAAGGGCGCCACATACTGGGGAAGGCACCGCTACAGCTGAACCCCAGGGACGTGTACGCTTACGGGCACCTAGCAGGGGGCACCCACCAAGTATCAAGATGAGGTCAAACACCAGTGGCAAGTAGGGCAGAACCCTCTACCAAGGCAAAAACAAAAACAAAAACCAAACCCCTGCAAGATGACAACATACCCCAAGGAACAGAACCGGCCACTGTGATTGGTGACAACAAGCTGCACAGCACCCTGCACCCCTTACCAGTGCAAAACTGCCTCCTACCCTAAGGTAAACTAGGGAGACATGACACCCAAGTACCCAAAGGGCAGCTAAAAAAACTGAGCAGTTAAATAGACCCACAGAGGCAGATCCTACAGAACCTGTGGAAGGTAACCCCAAGCACCAAGGGCAGTACTTACAGGGCACCTAGGAAAGGGAACCCTAGGCGCATGCAGCCCAAGTACTTAATTGTAACTCCAGGCTCTCACACCCCTGGAGAACAGCCGCCACACACAAGGCACAGTGCCGTAAATGTCTGGAGCCAGAGCATACATCTGCTGCCTATAGCATCAGCCTTAACCCTTAAACTGCGCAACACATTACAACATGGGATTACAAATAAAACAAGTAAACTTGGAGAATGGGCACTAGAAGAAAACCCAGACATTATAACACTCACAGAAACAAAGCTAACGAAAATCATAACAAATGCAGTGTTTCCGCAGGGCTACTATGTAGTGAGGAAAGAGAGAGAAGGGAGAGGAGGAGGTGGTGTACCTTTGCTACTAAGAGAAGGTTGGAGTTTCAAAGAGATGGTAATTCAGAACTGTGAAGGTT